CTTATTTGTCAAAGGTTTTACGTCGGAGCCCCAAGAAAGAAATTGGATGTCCGTGTTCGAATTCTGTTCTGGTCAAATTCACTCTTATCCAATGTAACATGTGCCTTGTCGTGACTGGCAGCATGTCCGCTAGGAGTCCAATACCAGCGGGTTGCTACAATTACTAACTGGGTTCGGTTTCAGATTCCCCGTCTGTTTGGCGTGGGCCCCGATTATGTCTAGCCGAAGAAGGCAAAATAGCCCGGAAATCGTCTCCTGTCCGCACTTTCTTTGTTGGTAACTCCTACTGACTGCAGATGAAGGAATGCAAACTAGTCCTTAGTACCAGATCGCCGGAACTCTAACGTAAAGAAGCGAGCAAACCATAACTGTCTAGCAGTAGGGGTGGCAGCGGAGAATGCGCGTCACGGACGACTTATTCGCCCCGTAAGCTGGCAACCCACGAGCCTCGATGGCTCGCGAAGCAGTTTCACGCACGTCTTTCGAGTCTGTGCTGCCCTTGCGATCGCTCGTCAGCCGAATTTAATCTACTGCCCGCATCCGTCAACCCAACGAACGGATGTGTGTGTATACACAAGCGGTTATTACGCCTCAGGTTATACAGCCTCCGGACGGATGGCAGACGGCTCGTGACTACCAGGTCACAGGCTACCCTGATTGACAAGAGGACGGCACCGTAACCACACCATGACCTCCTTCAGGTGCCCAACGCTCTGAACTCCACAAAACTTCGCATGCTTTCGGAAGTGAGGCTGTGTCCCCCCTTTACCTGGACGTAGTGGCGCCAACTAGTAGCACCACTGTTTGCGTCTTAAGGTTAATCATTCCGCCTGACCGAAGCCACTAAAAGTGGACGGCGAAGAACAAGTGCCACTCAGCATCTTTTCATTAACGAACCTTTTCTAATTTTTTTCTCTCTTTCTGCTGTTTCTCCTCTCTTTTGTTCCTCTCCTTCTCCTCCTCCTCCTCCTCCTCCTCCCCCTCCTCCTCATTCTTCTTCCTCTTGTTCTTTGTCCCTGGTTTGCTTTTTTCTTTGCCCCATTTTGACTTTTTTGCCCGTCCCTTCTACCTTCTTACTTGTAAGTGGTTGTGATATGACTTAAGCTGCATGAGAAGTCACAATTACTTTTGACACACGCCATCCCAATTGGCTGGGTGACGCCAATAAATGAACATATCAGAGTCCGACACTTATTGCTGCCTACCAGGGCTTTTGATTTCTTGAGGAAGGCTTCGCATTTTTTCTTCCAAATTTAAGTAAGGAGATCAAATAATGTTCGTTCGAATTAATCAAGCCTGAATTTTATCACCGATCCCTTGCCGGTTCTGCTATTTCGAAATCAATATGGAGGCTTGACAACGTGATCTACCTAAACGGCGAAGATCGAGGATTCGTGACTGGTAGCGACATCGACCCTGTACGGCGTATATGACCGGTCATGTTCAACCACCCTTGTGGCAAATGAGACCCTCTGTCCTCTGACAGCAAGTTTCAGGCGACCCATTGACGAAGTGCCACCATTTCGACAGCAACCAGCACGCTGCATTCAAACAGAAACCGATGACGATCCAGATCTGACACCCGTACATGGGCAGTGTGTGTTTGAGGCCAGTCCGTTCAGGCGGTTGCCGCGGCCGATAAACCCACCCTGCGAATTTGCAATTGTACAGGACTATTGGCTGTGGCGCTAATTCATCGGCTGACCACCCCAAGTCTAGCTTTAAAGTCCACTTATACGTTTTCCAGGTAGGTTGGATTTGGGAGAACCATATGTTCTGTAAGAATTCACCATCCACCTGGCCGAGTTATAGTCTGTTGTCCAAGTTTCGACAGCAGGCATCATGACACTGACTGGGGCTGTGGGCGACCAAGAGAATTGTGCTTGCCCCCCGTGTCAGAACTTGATATAGTTTGTAATATTTCCTCTAAGTGTACTGCTTATGCGCTAGCTAAGGAGACTAAAAAGCCCCCAAACAAGAAGGCGTGCCCCGAGTAAATGATGGTCATGTCCTGTAAGGCGAAATAAGGGATTATTCGATTCTAGGCGTGGCTGGTAGACACGTCTGCAAAACCAGAATGTTCGACGAGAAAGCCCAAAGCTGGCGACATACGCTATGTGACACCGCTAGTGCCCTATCTTCGGCAGCCTTCGCTATGAATACTTAACTTGTTTAAATCTCCAACTATGCTGGTCTTGCCTATTGCAGTTCGATTCCGTTCGACAGGCACGTCTTGTGATTGTGTGGTTTTTCTGCTTTTCCCAGAATTTGCCAGAATTAATAAGTATTCCTGATTGTATTTGCGCCTTGTGTCGCCCCCCCCCCCAGTTTTGTCAGTTGCAGCAGTAGCAACACCTACTCTACAAGAAGCCACATCTGCTGATCTGAGGAAAAAGTGGTAGGGCGTGAGTATGAGCACCCCCTCCCCCCTCGTACTAGGGGTGGTCCTGCGCCAAATTCCAGGCGGTTTAGAGTTTGGCCTTTGGGTCATTTTTAGGGTTGGGGCTGGAGGTGGGGGGCTAGCGTCAGGGTTATGATTAGGGCTTGGCTTATGATTGAGGTTAAGACGTGGGAACAGGTATCCCCTGGAGTACGGAAGGGTTGAAGTTCCCGTGCCAAGCCGAAAAAAAACAGGTATCTTGAAAAGGATGGCAGTAGAACAGCGCCAGTAAGTTCGCAAAGTGCCATGTTCAAAAGACCAGACATAGCAGAGAAAATTTTCCGCTAGTTCTTTGAGACCTCAGTGCGACCGAAGGCTCTTTTAACTGCCGCATCGGTTGCAAACTGTGTAATCGTGCCGGATATGGGTCATCCAGCAACACGAAGGTCGGAGATTTCTTTCTCCAGTGAGCTCGCTTTAGCGCAACTCCGCCTGCATCCCCAATCACACAACCCGGTATAAAACCAGCTAACTTACTGATCGGCTTCGTAGGTCGTAATTTTATAAAAACGACACAACCAGCAAGCAACGCTGACTAAGGCGACCGTCTGCTTCGCTGAGGATTGGGCAAGTGACGGGATTGGGAGGAGAGGCGAGAAAAGACAATTACCCGGTCCCTGCAGGCGGCTTTTAGCGCCCAGAATATATGATAGGCAGCAACGACGTCTTTGCCGCTACCAGTCATACATGTAATTCGAGCGCATCGGGTCACGCCGGTCCATTACTGCGCCCTATGTCACCCAGCGGGAGGCTATCCGGCCGTCTGGGGTGATCTTTTTATTTGTCGCCTGGTCAGTTGTCGTGGCAATGTGGAATCAAGCAACGGAGACCGGATCCTAGGGTCAGGTGTCGACTCTCCCCCTTCAGGAGAATGAGTAAGATGGGCGGGAGCAAAAGGTGAGTGAGATGGTGGAACCAGCGAAGGGATCTATGCAGGGTGGTGTTGGCGATACTTATGATGATGGTGACCACGATGGTGATAAAGATGATTGTGAGAAGAAGAAGAAGAAGAAGAAGAAGAAGGAGGAGGAGGAGGAGGAGGAGGAGGAGGAGGAGGTCGCTGATTTTTCTCTTCTTTTAATGGGTTCCTAGGGAGATCCAAGCGATTCACCAGTCATCCGTTCAGCTTTTGTGAGGGTTTGAGTCCTATGCGCCATCAGAGGCGACGGCGGTCACATGAGCTCGCTCAATTCACCTCCCTCCCCTGTTTACAAAGTAACCCACATTCCCACGCTCTCGCGGTCCATTTTCCATTCCAGCATTTGCATCGTTCTCACGACAGGTTTTCTGGTACCATGAGCACCCTATCTCCCTCCTGGCGTCGCGGCGCCCTCTCACGTTTATTTGACGCCACGCCTCGCAAACCTCTTGAGCACTTTTAAAAAATCAGTGGCACCCAGAAAATCTGGTGATTCACACTGGGCTGACGTGAACTTGGTGAGACTGACACTGAGGAACAGTCTGTTGTGCATACACTGCTGTCTAATCTGCCTTCTTCGGTGTAGTTCCCACCAGAAGTAGAATCTCTGGCAGTCCGTCAAACCCCGGAGGCTTTAATGAAGAAAAACCCGCGACCTCAACAACTGCGAGTGGATAAGGGCTAAAATCGCTTCCTCGAGCTTTTTGACAGTGTACAGGAATGTCGAACGGAGGAAGCAAAGTTCGGTTTATTTTAACGAGAGAAGTTTTGGCGACACTGACTCTATCTACATCCCGGCGGCTTGACTCAAGTAAACGAAAGTGAAGACCTATAACCTCTGATGTTAGTAGCGATAGCAGTCGTGCGCTATTTGAAAGCTGTGGACACCCTCTGCTCACTTCCGCCGACGTGCGCCTCCGAAAAGCCAGCAACTCCATTCTGTCCTCAGGAGTCGGCCAGTGCCCATGTAAAAAGCCTGTTCTTTGCCAGCGCCGGTGTGTGCACACGGTACTGGTAGTGTCTGCACTTACCATAGTAGTCATCACGACTTATTCGTCGTGTCTGTGGAAAGAAGACGGAGGGGCGGTATACGGCACATGACCTATCTCATGAAATCTGATAACGGAAACTGATGCAAGAGTTTCTGGAAGTGTTTAACACTGCGCATGTTATTCGCTTCCTTCCCTCAAGGAAATGTCCTTTTCTTGTGCAGAAATTGTGTTTTCGTAATTATATCAAGTAAATATCGGTAAATTTTAAAGAAAATGGACTTTGGAATATATCCGTGCAATTTCCTATGCTAGTACATGTCCTAGACTACGGTTACGTATCTGAGCGACTTTTTTCATTGAAGGGATAGTAATTCACCTGCGAGAGTTTTAATAAACAGATTTTACCGGACTTTAAAATTTATTTTATGTCCGATACTAACCAAGGTAATCAACTTCCTAACAAAAAGGATATTTTAAGAAAACCAGATGTTTTATCAATTTCTAAATGTCAAATTAGCAGATCTGTGCGATTTGGTGCCCTACAGTGCAGCGATAACGCAGATAGGGATTCCTTCGCTTAAGTGGGCTGAAGTTGTTTGCTGTTTGAAAAATTCTACCTGATGTCACATAAACGACCACCACCGAACGGTCATTTCCAGTTTTGAACATATGAAAAACTACTTGTCGTGTAATTCGGCTTCTGTGCATACCATATTCAGAAATAAAACAAGCAAAGCATTAATAATTTAAGCAAAATATCGGTACTTATATGTGCGCTCTGCCGTACATTCATAATCGAATAACAGAGTATAAAAGCAAGTAAAAACGGTGAAAATGGCCTCACTGTATAGAGGAAAGCGTGTTCTTACGTTTATGGTAGAAAATATTAGTATTGTTTAGGAACGTGAAGGAAACGGCCAAAAGTGACAAATTTTTACTTGGCCTCATCGTGCAAAAATGCAAGGTACACAGAGGTCCGTCAACGGAGTGTAGTAATAAAGCACTTCTTAAAAAGTAACTTATTTTTTTAAAATTATCTTATTGTTCGAAGGCATATTCTTTACTGAATTTCGCTGTGGAAAGCCATTTTTCTCGAAAATAAAGTTTGGTGTTTTAATGAGTCTTCGCATGCTGCCCAAACAGCCATCTTCGTGAAAAGGAATACTCGAGCAATCACAAATTCGGTAAATGCCTTCAAGAATAATCATATTTTAAAGATCTTAACAGACGGGTAATTCAGAATCTGTCTTTATGGACGATCGGGTGAAAATACTGAAACTCATGAAGTATTCAGCAACATTTCGAGGCCGATCTGAAACTCAGCATATTCCAAAACAAAAGAGAAGTGTAAATTAACTTAACGGAAGAAAAGTTCTCTCTATAAACACAAAGTGGTATGTTTACGATCACGCTTGTCAGTTCTATTTAAATTTGTTAGGCACCGATCGGCCTCACAGCATGTTATCTTATGAAAACTTTTGTTCCTACGACGTCCCCATCTGTGAAATCAAGCAAAATCCTGTTTCTCTTGTTGAACCCCATCTCATTTAACTCAAACCAGTCAAGGACAACACGAATCCTTACAAAACTGTTTTGGAATCTACACTCAGAATGTAGGCAGTTGACAACCCGTTATATACGAAATCACACTAATTATTAAAGGATATTTAGAGGTAAACATCACTGAAACACTACTATTATATGTTAATTTATTTCTACTTTCATATTTACTATGTTTTTGGTATGAGAATACATTATATACATTTAAAAACTAAGTTTACTAAATTAGAGCCATTTTTGACGTTTTCGGGATATTGCGCTGTTCAAAATAAATCTACATTTCTAAACAACTCAACAGTGCCTTGAATATTTCTTTTATGTTTTTGATTCTTCTGAACTTGTGCTTAATTAACATAGATATTGGACTCGTGAAATGATGTCGGTTTGCGAGTTACTGGCAATCACTCGTAAATTTCGACACATTTCCTGAGTTAGGTAACGCACTGTAAGGACGATGCTGATGACCGGCGTTTTATAGCGTACGCAGTGTGTCGAAGTCTTCGTATTGGATGATGCGGCATATAGCGGATATCGAATTAGAAGCTCGTTCGTAGCTTTCGACACTACCCCGCCACTACTGTTCCAGACAAGCTACAGTAGGTGGGCTAGCTCATGAAATGTCAATCGAAATTCCGAAATGCGTCTTCGTTTCGAAAAGATTAATTAAGTAGGGTTTAAAACTAACCATCATTGAGCATAATTCTATAATAATTCAGTTACCTCAGGACGCCGGCTTTCGGATGACCCTATTTTCAGCTACACGCAAAAACTATACTCTGTGAAAAATGATTACTTAAGTAGCATGCATTCTTCTCATTGATTCTTGATGCCCTTAAAAATATAATTATATTCCATGGAAAATATGCACAAAAATATTCATTCTTTTGATCGTTCGGTAGATAATTGCGTCTTCTTCTAATTTTATACTCGAAGAAAGGGTATAATTCGGCCTTTAAAAAGTTTCTAATTGTGAGATTTTTTGATACCGTAAAATGGCCGTTCATAAAACGTCATGTCTCTGCATTTACCAATGTGACTTGTAAAGTTAGCGATATGGCCAGGTCTACTGCCACCGTAGAGTAATGCATGGTTTTCCGTACGCGGAAAATATACAACTTGTATTTCGGAAACCCTGAATGCAAGTGTAAAGGCAGGTCGGGTTCAAAATTATTCGGGCATTGGAAAAGTTCTTAAAAACCGAATTATACCCTTCCCTGCAGTATAAAATTGGAAAAAGATGTAATCTTCTACCGAGGGAGCAAGAGAATGAATATTTTTATGCATGTTTTCCATGAGATATAATTGAATTTTTAAGGGTATCGAAAATCAATGAGAAAATGCATGCTATTTAAGTAGCAATTGTTCGCAGGGTATAGTTTTTGCATGCAGCCGGAAAGAAGTTCGTTCGAAAGCCGGCATCTTGAGGTAGCTGAATTACAATAGAATTAAACCGCATGCTGATTAGTTTAACAACGTAATTTAATCAATCTTTTCGAAACGAAAATGAATTTCGTAATTTCGGTTGACATTTCACGAGTTAGCCCACATACTGTACTTAGTTTTTGAATAATAAGAGAGGGGAGGGAAATCGATGGACCCCAAACTGGCGAAGCACAGCTTCCACAAGTCGTCCTTTTAGAGACCGTTCCCCACTGCCGAATTTCTGTCCTGATATCCGAAGTTCAGTCGAATACAGAAGTCAGCACTTTGAGCCTTTGTAAGAAGACGCCTTTTTTGCGTGATCTCTGTTTTTAACCATCAACTTCTATTCCTGTTGATTCGTCTTTTACACACCATGTCCGGCCTTATCGAATGACCTAGACAACTACTCGATATGGGGCATATATTCTTGACACCTGGATGGAATGTAAATTGGCCGATATGTTTTAATGCTCCAGTAGGCAATTCATGTAGCGGGTAAAACTGGACTTCATTTTCATGCAAACGCACACCTCCATCCAAAGGACGTGCGGAAATGGCTACTCAAACCCATATTATTTTTCTGTACATATGTACACCTGGGAAGACAAAGTGTAATCAGCTACCGGCTGACACCTGGGGAACACTCTCGAAGATAATCTTTCGGGTGTCCTGCAGAAAAATCCAGCAAAATACCTATTTAAAGCCGGTCAGCAGATCATTTGGACACATCCACTTTCGGCACTGCTCTGCCGATCAAAGATCCACCTTCTCCACCAGCACTTTCGTTTCTCAATCACATGTCAATCACATCCAAAAGTTGTGATACGCCTCATACTTGGCCTTAGGAACCTGATAAGGTCAGATTAGAGGTGCCCCGACAACACACTAGGCATTTAAAATAAAAGCTGATAAAAAGTCTAGAGAAGGAGAAGGGGAGAATGTTGGGCTAGGCATGTAAGTTTCTGGCTCGACAAAACCTCGACAGGCATCTTCTCTAGTTTTAGTCTTTTCTAAAAAATGGTTATCTGTGAGTCTGCACTGACAGACAACCTCAGATTATGTTAAGGGAGACAAGACTCTTCGGAAAATCCGACATTTACTTATGAATTGGCAAACTGTTAACAACAACCCGTTGTCGGCCGTAATGAGTGGAATGCGTGTGACTCGCAGTGTAGACCAAGGGATGAGGGGAATACAATCGAGGTTTAGATGTTTTGGGGGCGAAAGGGTGAAGGAGGTCTGCGATCGCCGTTCCGGAATGCGAGGTTATAGGCAGCGGGTCAAGTCAAAGTGGGAATTAGCGTTACCGAGTGCCTGCGAGTTGTTGGAGACTGATGACATAAACTTGTAGATATTAGTAATGCTAATACTGTTGTCCTCTGAAATTCCAAAACGCTATAAAATCTTCAGTGTCTGGCAGACTTCGCGCCATTTAATTCGCGAACACCCTTTTTCGCCCCCCACTCCCCATTTCAGTGTGAGAACACTGCTTCTGGATCATCAAAGAGCCCTTGTTCATCAAAAGGGTTGCTTCTGGAGAACAGTATCATACAGCGAGAGCTTCTTTGCCAGAACTAAGCACCCCCCCCGTGTCCGTAACTAGCCCTAGGTTAATCTAGCGCACTTTTCCTTTTCCGGGGTTAGAGTTTATTCGATAGTGCACGAGCCATATTCCTTCTCAGTCTGGGAAGTTTGGCAACTGGGCCGGCAACCGTATTCTCCTTCTCGAGGCAAGAATACAGCTGCAAGCTTTGGAGCTCGAATTTCTCAATCTTCTCTGTTGGGTTACCACAGAAAGTGATCCGAATTTTAAAATGCACTTGCTCCCATGTATGTTGTGACAGCCATCCCGTCCCATGTGCAGTCAGTGCCCCTAAGCGCTAACCGCAATATTGGCTTTTTTTATTGGTTCGCGCCGAGGCGGCCAATTGAAAGTGAGATAATCATTCACTCCTCCGGCAGCGCATATTTCTCTACGCTCATTGGTCAAAGTCCCGACCATCGCACCAATGGCTTTGCTGGTTTTATAAAACACACGCTAGTGCGCCCTGTTTCGCCCCCCTCCCCTCCTCGTCCGATTTGCGTACGAATGCTTGTGAGGATACCTCGTAAGCGCAGGCGCGCGCTTTAATCGCGTCTTCATCTAGTATCACATCCGCACCCCGTTGCCCGCTTCTCTTCTGCGGATGCGTCAGAACCGGCAGTGGCAAAAGTAGCGCCACTGCACAGTCGGCGGTGGGCACAAACGCACACAGACTTTGTGCTGAACTCAAAGACACAGTCTTTATCACACGGAAGGCGTCCACATATACCGCTCTTCAAAGAGAACAACACTTCCATTTGGACTGTCACCCAAACCCTCGGATACAGATTATGCCATTGGCTCCGGCAAATTACCTCTATTCATTCTCTACAGTCGACTCGACAGCCGCTGCAGCCGCAGCGGTTATGTGCAATCCCTATAATCAACGCGGCTGCCTCCCTCATGGATCCACCAGAACATCGGAGCTCGTACTGGGCTCTCATCAGTACCAGCTTCATCTTCAACAACAACAACATTCGCATCAATACCATCAGCCTTATCAGCAGCAACAGCAGCCCCAACCCCACCAGGTACATCAGTCCGCCGAACAGCATCTGCCTCAGCCGACAGTCTATAGGGCGCCTAGCTCAGGCGAAACCGCCACTTTCCGTTATTATTCGCCCCTGCTGCCTCTTTGCAGCCCCAACGCAGGACCGTCCGTTGCAAGGTCAGAAGCAGCCGCAGTGAATAGCTTCCGGGCTCCACATACTGGCGTCGCAGATAATCATGAAAACGGCCAACACTATAACCTTATGTCTACCTATACGGCTGCCCAGCAAGCTCAGGCCGCAAAACTCTATCGTTACCTACAGGGCTGCCACAGTGGCGTTAGCGAAGTCGCCTATGGAGGCGGACGTGGCAGACGCAACTCCCCCGACGGGGCTCCGATGAGCAGCAGCGAACAGCTCGGTCAGGAGACTGATTATCGCCACTATCAGCACGGTGCCCGTCCAAGTGCAGCTGTCCCCTTTCCAAAGACTGAAAGAAAGGAGACGCTCTACTACTGCCAGTGGCTCGAGCAAATAGGCCGGGGACTGCAGGATACACAGGGGAAACGGTGTTGTACGCGAGTCTTTCACTCCATCGGTGATATTGTCAGTCATCTAACACTGGAGCATGTGGGTGGGCCTGAGCAGTTGAATCATACCTGCTACTGGCAGGGCTGTTCGAGACTGGGACGTCCCTTCAAGGCCAAGTACAAACTGGTTAACCATATTCGTGTGCATACAGGAGAGAAGCCCTTTCCCTGTCCCTTTCCTGGCTGCTTGAAGGTCTTTGCGCGCAGTGAAAACCTCAAGATTCACAAAAGGACGCACACAGGTAGGCCTTGCCCATCTTGTCATAGTTTCTTCACCCTAACTGTCTGACGCTTTCGTAACCCTCCCCAAGCCGGCGGATGAACGAGTCGCCTTTCATATGACTAAAATATGCACAGAGATGAGTTTGCGTGGAACCTTACTTAGTACCGTACATGTATGTTTCAAGCCACCTCAGCCACCGTGTTAAGTCCCACCAGCAGCCAACCGACAGACTCTAGCAGGTGAGGTCGATCCCACCCGAATCCAGCCCCTAAGTTGTTTACAAAGACCAGTCGAATGGGCATGGAAACTATGCCGACACGAAAACAGTCGTGGTCTGTAGAGGCCTACCAAATGAAGAAGCAAATCAACCCCATTTAGAATCGAAGGTCGGAATGTAATTGCTCCTTCTTGGTAAGCCGTTCATGACAGCTCCACCAAAGTGAGCTGATAGACCTCCCCCGGACATAGCCTGAATCAGGCTGTGTGAGTGCACATCTGGACGGGCCGTTCTGTTCTGTTAGCCACCGAACCCACACCCACCTTCGTCCGTCTTCATTTTGCCATCGGAGCGCGATCGGTGCGGCGAGGCAGGCCAGACAGGTGCTCCGTAAGACTGTATCACTATAACCACGGCTGCACCTAGCACATGAGGCGGTGTTGCATCATGTCCCTCGCGGCCAACAAACTTACAGTAGGTGGGCTAACTTATGAAATGTCAACCGAAATTACGAAATTCGTAATGATTAATTAAGTAGGTTTGAAAAACTAACCGTCATGCAGCATAATTCTATAATAATTCAGTTACCTCAGAATGCCGGCTTTTAAACGACCTCCTTTCTGGCCACATGCATAAACTATACTTTGTAAAAAATGGCTACTAAAATAGCATAATTTTTTTCTCACTGATTTTCGACGCCTATAAAAAAATCAATTATATTTCACGGAAGATATCCATAAAAGTATTCATTCATTTACTCATTTGATAGAAAATTACGTCTTCCTCCAATTTCATGCTTAAAGGAAGGGGTATCATTCGGTTTTCACAAACTTTTCCAATTCTGGAATAATTTTGAACCCCGACCTGCCGTTACACTTGTATTTGGGGTCTCCAAACTAAAAGCCGTATATTTTCTGCGTACGGAAAACCATACATTGTCTACTGTGTTAAAAGGAAACCATGTGGAGTTCACATAATTTAGCAGTAGTTTTGGCCATAATGTTAACTTCACAAACCACATTGGTAAATGCAGGGACATGAAGTTTTATGAAGGGCCATTTCACGGTAATAAAAAACCTAACAATTAGAAACTTTTTAACACCGCAGTATACCCTTCCTTCGAGTATAAAATTGAGAGAAGACGTAATTTCCTATCCACTGAGCAAGAGAATGAATATTTTTATGCATGTCTTCGTTGAAATATAATTTCATTTTTAAGGGCGTCGAATATCAAGGGGAAAAATGAATGGTATTTAAATAGTATTTTTGTTACAGAGTGTAGTTTACGCAAGCGGCCAAAAAGAAGTACTTTCGAAAACCGGCATCCTGAGGTAACTGAATTATTGCAGAATAATTCTGCAAGGCGATTAGTTTTACAACCCTACCTAATTAGTCTTCTTCAATTGAAAACGCATTTCAGAATTTCGGTTGACATTTCATGCGTTAGCCCACCCACTGTATGCATATATGGCCACGTACAGTGGGACTTCCGCCCCTTAGACACCCTCGAGTTTGGAATCCCTTATATTCTGGAATAGGCATGTGCAAAATGGCAGGCTGCGCTAGGCTGTATCGGAAAAATGTCGCCTTTATGGAATGGCTGCTTCTCAACTGTTTGCAAGCACAGCAAGTTAAACTTAGAATTTCGGAGGAAATCTTTACCAGGATTTGTTGCTTAAGCTAAATGTGCAGTAAAAAAATTTAGACACGGGTGTGCTTTAAACCGAAGCCATATAACAGAGCAAATAAAACCACCTCCACGGACTCATTTTCGGGGAATTGTTGCCCGTTGGAATGACCACGTCTGTCATCGTCGGCCAACCGTGTTCAAAGACACGACATTTTTCTCCCGGGGCCCAGTTGGATGCCATGTTAAACGCAGAATTTAGCCACGGGCGTACACTTCTCACACTGAAATCAGAAATATTCAAAGTCGCGTATGAATGACGGTCATCGCTGTAGCTTGACTGTTAGACGGGATGTGATATATCCGCTCTGCATAGTAACTGCTGTCAAAAATCTTTAGGGGTATTTGCCCTGTGAAATATAATAACGTTTGCAAAGTCTCACTGAGTGATTACTTTTAATTTATTGTAGCTCGTCAGGTCCAGACACCGCAAAAGATAAGAACGCCATTTAATATAACGCATTAGGACTATTTCTGCCAGCCTGATTCGTTTTAGCAAAATTTTCAAAAGGTAACTATTGGTACTTACACCGCCCTCGATAGGTACCGTCCTTGCCTCTGTTGACAGATTGTTGGTAACGCCGACGGCTTTTTTATTTAGGAAACTGGTGAATTTGGGAACGATATCGTTTTTCAGTTTCAGCAGATATCCATTTCCATCATTCATGGGCAACTATGACGGAATGTAATTGTTGCATATGGTTAAATTAGATGAAAAAGGCTTCTCTAGTTGCTCGCGATGTTTCGATTGGCAAGCCACATTGTCCCTGTATCCTCAAATTAATTTGTCACTCTAATAATCCGCAGTTAGCTGTTTAAAGGGTATCAGAAATCCTCATTCCGTGTAGAGGTTACAGCAAAGAGTCTTCGTAAAGTGGGTTCTTAAAAATACAACATGATTTCCACGTGCTTGGTACTCAGAGCGTGAAGCAGACTGTGTCAAACCCAAAAAGATAAAACGCTCGACAGAATTTTACATATTTTCTGTGTTTTCTTGCATTCCGCCTGCTGTCCGTCCTGCATTTTGCCCCACCCGTAAAACCTCATCCGCCAAAATTCCCGTACGACACGGTCCGCAGGCTATCTCAAGGTAAATGGGGTCCTACACCCTACCGTTGCCGAATTCACTACTGGGTTAGAGAAACGGGTCTTATATCCTATGCCCAGCCTACTGCATTTAGCGCTGCCCTTCAATGTGCAAGTCGGTTGCCATGGCTAATGTGGGCCCCTCATCCCCAGCACTCGTCCGCTAGCGTCGAACTGTCGATTGGATACGAGAACCAGTACCCTTGTGTTACAGGTGGTCTTGTGTTAAATCTCAGGGGAGTTTAGGATCTACGTTAGGGGTTGGGGTTCGAGGCAGGGTTTGTGCTACAGTTGCGGTTGGGGCCAGGACTAAAATATGTGAATAGTTATCCCGCCTGAAATTTAGCGTAAGGCCACCTGTAGCACGGGGCTTACTTATGCTCGTGCCCCGGCTTATTCTTTGATTTCCAGTCCTTTAGACTGCTTCCTTGGAGGTCAAAACATCAAACAGTTAGATGTAGATCTAAGAGGGTTTGTAAGCAAGACTCCCCTTTGGCACTGTTTTTTTTTTGGAAAAAGTGGGCACGGGTTGAAAAGCACTCGGTATTCCAGACTACAAACGTGTTTGCTATCCGACTGCTTTTGACCTCAGATGGTCATCTTATCGAACTCTCCCGTCAGAGAACTCTTATGAGATAACTGATGCCGGCCGTTGATGGGGGATCAGGTGGCACCTGCCTGTCCGCTGTTTTGCACACGTTGAGCTCGGATGCGGGAGGAGCCCACACGCATCTACACGCAAGCGGGCCTACACACACACACACACACACGCCAAAACTTACCCAAGGAGTGTATTGTGTGAGTGTGTGGACACGTGTAAAAAGATGCACACAAAAAGCAGGCGAAAGCCGATGCGTGTTTTAAAACCCAACTGTGCGCGGCCAGGTCTGAATAGTCTTTTTTTGATCGTTGTGGATTGGGATACGGGCATACAGGTATGACGTGCGTTGAGCCCCGATGCAGTGGCATTTAGGATCCCCCACGAGCTGCCGCCCTACCGACCTCTTTTCATCTCCTCTTTCGATGGGGTCCTGTTTCGACGTTCGGATGGGAGATCTGAGCGATACATGATGTCTCCACATTCAGCTCGCTAACCCACCCCTACTCTGGCCGCTACATGCACGTCGCATGACTAGCTGCCGGGGTCCCACGTGTTGTCAGCCCGCATTCAATAGGGACAGACCTGTTAGGGTATACCACACACCTTGTTGCGGCTCGTTTTGAAACATTAGACCCAAGAGAACATCTTACTCGTCGTTTCGACGAGTTTTTGACTGAACGGCTCATATTCAGGCGTCACTTCCATCTAGCTTTTTTTTCGCTAACAGGGACTGCCGGACCGAATTGGTTGCCTACACCAACAGTAGTACGCCGCATCGTGGAATCCAGTTCTTTTAGTTTACTTTTGGTCTTCTGCATAACCACAACTCTTAAGATTGCTGCTCTTGGTTTCACAACGACCGCCATTGCAGCCGCTGTCTGGAAAGTGTTCACTAACATCGTATGCGATCCCGACGTATAGCAGTGTTTTGTCCTCATTGATTGGTCCCTAGAATGCGGGCGTCTGACATATACCCGATATGTCCGATTCACGTAAACCTCAATTAAAACGACGGTACTCGATATATAAATTTATCGTAGGATGATACGATGCAAAATTCGCTATTGCCATTTTATCCCGTGACTTCCTGAAGAAATATCGGTGGGCCTCTCTGAACTTTCGCATTTGCCGTCGATAGACATCCCCCCCCATGTTCCCACCATACCACCATACATATCATACGCTGGTTTACTCGTTTTTTTGACCACCTTCGGGTACGACGACACATAGTGCCGGGAATAAACTTTACCCACGCAGCACTGTCTCCGATTCGCTCCTTTAATGTCCGCTCACCTTGAGCGCAAGGCTACATGTAATACGGGGTAGGTAACTATTCCCGTGTTCTGCCGCAAAAACATTTCAATCAGAACGACTGTTTTGTCTATGTGTCCCTCTAATCGGTACCTGCTTTAGACCGTGATTTCGGAAGTAAGGACATTTAAAAGACAAAACGACTTCTTCGAGTCCGCTGCCGTGGCAAAAAACAAGCTGGTAACTCAAATGAGTCTTGTTTTTGTCGAGTAGATAGTGCCTGTCGGTGGCAGCGTCTGCGGACATGCGCACACAAAGGGCGGTGGTTTTGAAATCAAAGGGATTTAAAACTCTTAAGTCGGATGACGGCATCAACACCTCTCTGTGGAACCTCAAGAATAAGTGAATAAAACCAAGGCCAAAGTGAATAAGCCTGGCAAAGTTGCGAAATGGGAGTTTTTGTGAAAATTATTGCTTTTCACCCGAACCAAAAAAGTGTAGTCCGGCTAGAGACGCTTTTCGCTACCTGCCCTCCTCCCTCTTCCTTCTCACAAGAAAAAGTCCACCTAGGATTAGACATTGGAGACAAACAGACACACAAGAGAGCCCTTTAAAGCATTAACGGATAACACGAAATCAACCAAACTCTAAGTCTAACACTTATACTTAAAGTTAACTAGAGAGATTATTGGTAATGTTTAGTGGTACGAACACAAGTATCCCTAACCGCCATTTGCCCACTAGTAAGGGGTGCAGCCAAATTCGTATGAACCATGCGCCATTAACGCCGACTGCCGATTTTAAGACCACCTCCACATAACCAGCGTCCATATTTGTTGCAACATTAAAGCCCCTGTTGAAATTTTCCAGATATTATAAGAGTTGTAATACGAGAATCTTTTTGCAGTTTTAATGCTGCCCATCTTTTTACGGAAGGTCTGACAGAACCCACTCTTTTAATCCGCGGAATAGGAGTCCACTTGTAGATAAACCAAAGCGAACTGCAGGATAACTTGCTTTCATCTCCGATCTTGCACCCAGAACGGTCCACTCGAAACGATAGTTTACCGAAAACAAATTTTCAGAAACCTGTAGCCATCTTTAAACAGAAAGAGGAATTCCTACTTCTAACTTTCATGGAAACTGGACAGTTATGCTCCAAGTGCAAGGATATGAGAGATGAGAAGCAACTGACTGGGATAAAATATCAAAATAATGGATATCCAAATGAAGTAATTTGCAATGGTGAAAAGAACCGTCAGACAATGCTTCGTCCCGACCTCAGTACCCTTCACGTCCACGCCAGTCGCGCGGTACGACAAGCTATAGATTTGGTTGCTATAAGAACGAGATTTAGTGCCTTTAACATTACCTTAAGTAAACTCAAGAGGCGTACCAACAGCCTTCGCGTCGAACACGGTATAGATTTTCGATCGAACTCTTTTCGCCTCGCAGACACTACCATTAATTGCGAGGACGATCAATCTGAGTTGACGGAATATTTGCCAATTTGTTTTTTTTCTCGGCAATCTAAACTAAGACATTTGTTTGCAAATTCTGCGTCGCGGGGCTGTCTAGACAAGTACAGGCTAAAAAATGAGGTGTAAAATCCCACTGATCGCTCGCCTTCGCCGCCAGTCAGGCTTAAACGATTGGCGTTGCGAGATCCCTAAGAGCGCATGACCATTGAAGAGGTTGAAGGTTGCGGGCTACCTCAACACTGCTTAGTCAGACGACCAATGGGATTTTATGAGTGTGGTTGCTGAGTTTGGCCCGACATCAAGAGGCCGGAGTTGACGACTGGTGCGGCAGATGAGTGAAGCTCAGCTGCCTGTGAGGTGGAATTTGGGCCGAATTTTCCCCCTAGAGGGGACCACTCGGTAGCTGGGCTGGATCGACACGAGAGCTAGGACGGAATCCGGCCGGCGTTATTGGGAATGCACACCATAACAAATACCAACACTGGGGCTGCGGTGACACGCCTTGGTGCAGGCTTACGCGCGTCAACCGAGATCCAAATCTTCCCTTTATAAGAAATTTATTGACCCGACGTTTCGTATTCCCACTAGAATCCATCATCAGAGACAGTCGCAGATAAAGTTGATGGTGGCACACGCGGTGGGACCCACGGCAGCCACGTGCTATAAATACTGCACTCCTTGTGCCAGCATTACCCTTATCTGCGACCGCCTCTGATGATGGATTCGAGTGAGAATCCGAAAAGTCAAGCCAATAAATTTCTTGTTCCAGTGATCGTATCTTTGTCTTCTGAACTGCTATCTGGAACTCGCCTGGTCGCTTCTATCAGCAATCTTCTCTTTATCTTGTTTTATGAAATCCGGGTCAGCGTACGTTTTGGACTAGGGAGTGTGGTAGTAGGCCTAAGAGCGGGTTGCCGCCGCATCAGTCACATGCGCCCTCTACCGCCTCCGGTCCTCTCGACTAGGTCATGGCACCGGATCCAGGCGGTGGAGGAGGAGAGAGTGCGATAGATACTACTCAAGTCTGCCATCACTTGAAAAGAAATCATGAGCAAGTCGCCGCCCCTGCTCTCACCCTGCTGTGCAACACATAGTTGGTAACGACGATCGAACTCTTATTTGAGCCGAAAGTTATTCAATTCGAAGAGTTGCACTTCCGTAATCAAACACTACGGGAAACAATTCTTCCGTAACTTCAGATCAGAACCAACAGTACATAGACAGTAGTGACATGTGGGTGAGGAGTGTTCTAACGATATCAACCTCGTCTGTTCTCTCTCTCTCTCTCTCTCTCTCTCTCTCTCTCTCTCTTTCTCCCTGTACTGTCAGTCGCAATGAGTTCTGATGAAGAGATTAAGTCCGTTCGACTGCATATGCTATTCGACATACTGCCCGGGCATATTTGTCAACCTACTACTACTACTACTACTACTACTACTACTACTACTACTACTACTACTACTACTACTACTACTACTACTACTACTACTACTACTACTACTACTACTACTACTACTACTACTACTACTACTACTACTACTACTACTACTACTATTACTACTACTACTACTACTACTACTACTACTACTACTACTACTACTATTACTACTACTACTACTACTACTACTACTACTACTACTACTACTACTACTACGACTACTACTACTAACACTGCGGCGAGTCACTGGATCGTACGGCTTAAACCAGATGAAACACAGCTGATTAATAATATTATTAGGTTTTGCAGCTATAGGCATATTAGAGTCGCGAATTGAGCTTGGTATGAAGGACTTGCCAATTCTGTCTGCAAGTGCCCCAACTCGGAGGTCCCCTACTCTTAAACAGGCAACTTAATGTGCTCAGCACGGGCCTCGCGGTTTCTTAAGAACTGATTCCGTCTAGTGGCACTGCAAGTCCTGGCGACTAGATATGAGCGTGGACCCAGCGGTCGCAAACTACTTGGCTGGTCTACGCGTAGTGGTTGTGGTCCGGGTCATCATGCGAACGTAAATTAGATTGAATAGTTCGTCCGTCTACAGTAAGCACCACTACCGGGACGAATGGAGAGGAGCTTATGCACAGGCAAGGACTATCCGTTCGCCCCCACCTCTCTCCCTCGTTCGCTCTCGCACGTACCACGCCTGGTGGTCCCACGACCGACGAGAAACCAGTCCACTCCCATAGACGAGAGTTGTCATAAGGACACCGTGCAATTTGGTTTTGCCACCCGGAGGCCATGATTTCTGGAGTACCGTGATAGCTAAAAAGCACATCAGTCAATTGGCCCAGAAAATTGCGCCCCCGGACGCGATACACTAGTTCCGCTGTGGGCATGGCACTTCAGAGCCTACCATGTTGATGGCTGTCACGCGCACGCCTTCAGGTGCACGCCATACACGCACGTAAAAGCGCGTGTGCCCCAACCATGTGAAAATAACGAAAGTCTCTACTCATTTCGTGGGGTTTGAACATCTCCTGACTGCTTAAAAGATAAATTATTAGGGATGACCATCTCACGGGATGGCTGGTATGTTGACCACTATCATACACTCGACTATCCTACCTTGCCCCCACTGGCCTGTGCACCATGCCTCAAAACTAGTCTGTGTGAGTATCCAGTGTCCAGCTCCAATAGAGCGGGCGTCTGTGCCAGCGCAAAATCTTTTAAGTAGGCCTGTAAATGACAGGTATTACTTAAACCGGGTCCTAAGGGCAAGTAGCAGAGAATATAACTGCATGTTTAGTTGCGCACAACTGCATGCTGATCAGATGGCTTCTTCATTGGGATGTATTTTTCCACTCTTTTTCACTCTTTTTCCACTCTTTTTTCAATAGAGGATCGATGACATAAATGAATAAGTCTTAGAAAATATATACAATCTAGTTTGTGAGGCACTGTTGCGTTAAAAGTATGAAATTAATCCTTTATCAAAACACAAAATGCAAGGGGGTCTTATTTTCTAAAAAAAGTGAGCATGGGAACTTAATTTTTTATGCATCCTCAGAGGTAAGCGTGGTTACGCTGGTACAAATATACAGTGTAAGTGAAAGATGCAGCCGACTTAAGCAGTCTCCGTTTGAATTTTCCTCGCGACCAACACTTAACACGTTATGCACGTATAGACTTGCGGAATGCTTCGGACTAATTAGAACTGAATTCTCACTTAGATAGTCCTTTTATTTGGAGACAGTTCATAATTTCGGCATAGAGTTGCAGAGTTTTTAGGCACTTATACATGTCTGTTCAACCGTCCTGCGTGATGACGCCCGGCACTGCCTCGTGGGACGGGCGCAGCTGTGACCTTGGCGTGAATTTACTTATACTGAGGCAAACTTATACCGTATCTGCCTCACTCTCTCTCTCGCCCGCACCGACCGCGTCCCGATGGCAAGACACAGTCAAGACAACCGGATGTGGACGTGGGCCTAATGACAGAGAAAACGAAAAGGTCCGCCCACGCATGCCACATAAATTCATGCGCCAAGTCACTACGCTTGGGGGAGTCCTGATCCCATCAAGGGGGTGTACACAGCGGCCCGACTCTCGGTTCGGAGCAGGACCGAGCTATCGCGTCAGTCGGTAGCCTCCAAAGCCAGGACTGCTTTCGCATCGGCATAGCTTCCAAGCATGCTCGACCGTTCATAATGAGCAGTTTGGAGGCCGAATTCAGGTTGGATCGACCTCACTCTCTCCCTCTCCCCCCACATCAGCAGCCTCACAGAGCTTGTCATCTGACTGTTGGTGGGATTTGGCGCGGTGGTTGACGTGCCGTTTGTCTCCGTCAGAGGCGTATCGCATGCATGTGTTGTAAAAGGACTAACGCGACTATAAAAATTCCTGACATGCGATAGTGTGACCTAGTTTTGATCCATCGTTGCAACAATGAAACCAGTTTTACACATAATAACTACTTAAATACCAAAATGTTTATATAGGATCGTCATAAGTGACTCTCAAGCTTCCATGGAGGAAGCCAGAACACCATTACATGTACATTGGGTTGAGAGGACTGTTTACAGTTATCAATAATTCAGCTCTACGCAGGTGGTCGATTCAATTTTTATAGCTGCTAGTGGCGAAACTGCTAATTCAGATTCAGTTTATAATTGAATGTGGACCCAAGATAGTAAGCAAGGCAAAGAGGTCTTCTGTACTTATTGTGACTGACATTTGCACATTCATGTCTCAGAAAGTACAACCTGACAGAAAGGATTGCTATTAGTGCTGTCAATCGGGATAAACCCCGTCCAAATAAGTAAGTTTCCTGTAAGGAATGATGATGACGACAAAGTGTTTGTTTTTTACGAAATTTAAGGGAGTATGCGCCTATAAAAGCAAGCGCATACGAGCAAATTCGACCGGAAATAATAGATTTGGAGTCAGGCCAAAGCATCAGTAGAGCAATATTTTAAGGTGTTACAGCAAGTATGGACTACTTGTGAGGCGAAAAACAATTCACAGGTCTTCTGACAGGGTGTTGCGACTGTTGCATAGAGGGAGTCCGCCTTCGAAAGGATGGGAAAGGGCGCACCAAATATATATGAGGTATGCCAACAGAAACCACACTCGGTAAAAAAGGACTACTAAAGTAGCCTGAATTTTCAGCACTGCTTTCAGATGGCTTCGCAAATTCAAATACATTTCATGGAGCATATGTGCAGGCGTCTTCTCTCTTGTACTCATTTGGTAGCAATCCACAGCTTCTTCAGACTTTATACCCGAAGAAATTGTAGGTTTTGACTTGAAAAAAGCTTGTAATTATGAAGTCTATTTAGACCGTGAAGTGTCCATTCATAGAGCACTGGATGTACATCACAAAATTGTATGAGCCCTACACTACCTCTGCCTAGGATTTTCCATGCACCGAAATTGCATATCACGCAGTTTTGAAGTTCCAACACAAATGCGGCTGAATATGTGGTCCAAGGCTATTAGGGAATGAAGTTTTTCAACTTAACGCTGTACTCTACACATTTGAGAAAAACATAGTTGTCTATCAAAGGAGCGCGAGAAAGGATATCTTTGCGTATGCTTTCTATAAAGTAGCTAGTTCATGCGCTGTGAGTATTTGTATACCACTGAATGTTTTTTGACAGCTTGCGATTATCACGCGGTTAGTGCCCAGTAGCTGGTGGGTTTCAGCTGGGTTTCAGCAGACTTTCGAACCGAGCCTAGAAGTCTTTTTTCTTCAGGATTTACTCCAAGCTCGCGCACTACTTTCCTCGGAACGTAAACAGGACAAACATCTTTGGATTTACGTGGGCATATAAAATAAATAGGAAAAAAACGTATTACTTAAGTGGCCACTTTGTAAAGAGCGTGGTCATTGCAGACGGCCATAAAGAAGTGCATTGAAAAGCCGACATCCTGGTGTGACTGAGATATCTCGAACTTATGCTGTCTAGTGATGACTATTACAAGCCGATCTAAGTATTTCTTTCTAATCGAAAGAACATCGCAAAATTTAGGTTAGCATCCCATCATATACATTTCATACTGTACCCATGATCACTTGAAACACCTTATTTATTAACTTAGCACTTCACATGGGTATTTCGCAGATGGATGTCCATGTCTTATAGTTATTTTTTTCAAAATACAGTAGGTGGCGTAACTTATGAAGTGTTGACATAAATTCCGGAAGGTAGAATGATATTACCGACAAAGACAAAGGAGACTGGAATGGCCATTTCTGGCTTATTAGCCGTTGTCAGCCAGTCATACCCAACCCCGAAGTGTGGCACACCCGAGGCTCGAACTCGCGACCTGTTTGTTAGTAGTCCACGCCTCTAACCACTGAGCCACGAGCCCGTTGCCCTGTCGGTTTTCGATCGGGAATATACAATGGTAGGGGGCGCTCACCGATCGTTCATACGGAACTCACTCGTTCCGTTGTGCCTTAAGGGATCTCTCTCGAGCCCAACCAGCAGCTGCACAGTGACGCATGATATAGGCAGTATGTTATTACGGAAAAACAGAGCGAGTGAGTTCCGTAAGAACGATCGGTGAGCGCCCCCTACCATTCTGGAAGGTGTTTTCGATCAAAAAGGACTAATTAATTGGGGTTGCGAAATCGACCATCGTTCAGCACAATTCAACCGTCGCGATAGGATGCCAACTTTTGGATTAGCTTTTTTTACGGTCGTCCACAAATCTTCACTCGTGACTTTTTTCACACCGATTTTAAATGCCCTTGTACGTTTAAATTTATTTTATGGAAAACATGCATAAACATAGTGTTTCTTATGCTCGTTTAATAGCAACTCACGTCTCCTCAAAATTTTGCATCCGCTACGGCGACTTGCGCATGATCTAATTTATAGTGAGTATAGGCTTGCGCAGCATCTACCGCACCCCCTCATCCCCCCAGCTAGAGTCGGTGTCAAGACATAGTCCAGAAGACCGGAGACGGGGAAGGGCGCAGGTGGGTGACACTGTCGATCCCGCACCTTGACGCTCCACTCCGCACTCCCCTGGTCCACACAGCAAAGGACCGGGTTTTTGACCAACAAAAACAGAACTGGCTGGCGTGGCCAAGGCCACACCTAGGCGTGCCATCACCGGATCCCACGCAGTGGGAGTGCTAGAAAGGCCACTTCAAGAAGGAGCCATTCCAGCCTGACTCTTAGACCACCAGTCGTCCGCTCCACACAAACACACAACGCTGG